GTGCTCACCGTAGGGCAGCTGGCCGCCATAGTTGGCAGGAGGGTAGTAATGGCACGCCCACACGTCTGAACCCACACCGCACGACGCCTTGCCACACCCCACCGTGCGCGTGTCGTTCCAAATGACCTGCGTGTAGTGCCCACACTTGGCCCAGTTCCCGCCCGCACAGCCGTTGGGGAAGACCGCGACGGTGTACCACTGCCCCTCGTTCACCCACATCTGTGCTGCTGCTGCATTCGCCTTCGCCCCCGCGGGGCTGGCGCCCGCAAGGTTCTGCCCCTCGCCGTCATGCCCGCCGTGCACGAGGGTGCAGTTGTAGGAGGTGTTGGTGAGTGCTGCCGCCCATGCCTGCGCGTGCGCCGCCACTGGGAGAAAAGGAGGGGGGAAGGGGACGAGAAGTGAGGAGAGGGAGAGGAGGGGCGATGCATGGTGCTGGTGGAATGAGATGTGCATGACGTGTCCATGGCATGTGCATGGCATGTGCATGGCATGTGCACGGCATGTGCATGGCATGTGCATAGCATGTGCATGGCATGTGCACGCCATGTGCACGGCATGTGCACGGCATGTGCACGGCATGTGCACGGCATGTGCATGGCATGTGCATGGCACGTGCATGGCATGTGCATGGCATGTGCATGGCATGTGCATGGCATGTGCATTCCATGTGCATGGCATGTGCATGGCATGTGCATCGAATGTGCATGGCATGTGCGTGGCATGTGCATGGCATGTGCATTCCATGTGCATGGCATGTGCATTGCATGTGCATGGCATGTGCATGGTGTCAGAAGACCAGCGCTGGGGATGCCCGCTTGATCTTAGGGAAAGGTTACAGGCTCGCTGGCCTGGGGGTTATGGGCGCACCGACTCACCACTTAAAAGCCCGCGGCCCAAGTTGCGGACCGCTCAGGTCAAGATTACTAATCTTGGCCGCCGACAATCGGAAACTTGGCCGTGGCAACTTGGGACTTCGGCAACCAAATCTGAAGTCTCCCTTTCAAAGTGTTGCGAATGGTTGGGCGAAATCGTAACAACCCTCGCCCAACACCCCCGTCAATATTTGTGCACCTTTCCCCACAGCCCAGCGCTCAACCTTACTAAGGTTGAACAACTTGGGCTGCGGGCTTTAACAAGCCCTTTTATCCCAGTGGTCTAGTGGGTGGGATTCTGACATGGTATCAGAGCGAAAGTCTCGGGTTCGATCCCAATGTGTGCACATGCTTGCGCTGCCGCTGTGCCGTGTCCTAGGGCATCCCTGTGAAGGGGGGTGTCAGAAGACCAGCACTGGGGATGCCGCATTGGTCCTAGGGTTACAGGCTCGCTCGCCTTGGGGGTTATGGGCGCACTGACTAGCCACTTAACAAACTGCTCTAGTGGCTGGGATTCTGACACATGGCATGTGCATGGCATGTGCATGGCCCACACTCACATGTGTCGTTCCACAATCACATGAGTCGTCCCACACTCACATGTGTCGTCCCACACTCACAGGTGTCATCCCACACGAGCGGCACGGCGCCCATGGCAGCGCGGGCGTGGTTGTGCATATCGAGGTAGTCGGAGTGGGGGAGGTCGGCCGACGAGCATTTTCCGTCGATCAGGCGAGTATAGGGCGCGGGGCATTGGCACACCGCTGTACCGATCTGCACCACACACGTGGACACGTCCGGACACTTGACACCGTAGCATGCGTCTGAGTGGAGGGGAGAGAGGGTGGGTGGAGGGTGGGGAGTGGGAGGAGATGTGAGGAAGAGGTGCGAGGAGGGGGGGGACGAGGAAGGAAGCTAGCAGGACAAGACTCGTGTACACAAGTTAGCACCAAAGCATCTAGTGAGCAACAATGTCAAACATTTGACTAAATCGTAATCACCTGGGCACTGTTGCAATCACCTGGGCAGGCGCACTTGGCGATGCCAGCAGAAGAGGAGCAGGTGCAGTTGGTGGGGCAAGTGACGATCGTACACATGTCCACCTCTGGTGGGGGGGTGAAGGGGCAAGGGGGGTGGGGAAACGGGTGGCGGGAGAGGGAGTGGAAGGAGCATAAAGGCACAGGTGAATGGATGACGGGGGAAGAAACGAGACAAGCAAAGGGGCGAATGAGAACAAGACAAGGACCCGCCTGGCGCTTGACGCCGTAACATGCGTCTGAAAGGGAGGGGGGTGAGGGGGAGGGATATGGAGAAAAGGGTGTGGGGAGAAGGGGTGTGAAAGGCACTTGGCACTGTTGCTACTACCAGAGCAGGAGAACTGGCACTGTAGCAATCACCTGGGCAGAAGGTACTGTTGCAATTACCTGGGCAGAAGGTACTGTTGTAATCACCTGGGCACGAGCACTTGGGAACGCCAGCGGAAGAGGAGCAGTTGCAGTTGGCGGGGCAGGTGATGTTCAAACAGATGTCTACCGCTGGTGGGTGGGGGGAGTGACGGGGAAAGGGGGGTGGGGAAACGGGTGGCGGGAAAGGAGCATGAAGGCACAGGTAAATGGATGGCGGGGGAAGAAACGAGACGAGCGAAGGGGCGAATGAGAACAAGAGAAGGACCTGTGCTGTTCGCCCTGATGTCCCGTGCTGCTCACCCTGGCACTGACCGTTGACCTTGGTGTAGCCAACCACGCAGTGACAAGTGGCGCCAGTGCTCTCCCCCACACACACCGAGTTGTCCGGACACGCCGTCTCACACGCCCCACTGCCACCACTCGTGCTGCCCGTGCTACCACAGTACCTGTGCCGCCCGTGCTGCCCGTGCTGCCGGTGCTGCCGGTGCCGCCGGTGCCACCCGTGCTACCGGTGCTGCCAGTGCCGCCCGTGCTGCCAGTACTGCCGGTGCCGCCCGTGCTGCCGGTGCCGCCCGTGCTGCCAGTGCCGCCCGTGCTGCCAGTGCTGCCAGTGCTGCCGGTGCCGCCCGTGCTGCCGGTGCTGTCCGTACTGGCGGTGCAGGCGATAGATCTCACTGTTGCAAAGTTACCACTCGTGGTCCTGGAGAGCACACGCACAAGCAGACAGCAGCAAACCGCAATCAGCGGATCACCCAATAAAGGGTCTCAGCGGTTGGGGGGGAAGCACAGGAGAAGGTGTTGGTTTTAGCCCTCAATCTCACCTTTTGTACTTGTACTTTTTATATCCTAGCTTAGTGTAATTTTGCACTTTGGGTTTGGTTGGGTGTACACCCACATCCCAACCAAACCCAAATGTGATCTCCAAGCAATCTCCAACCCACCAATTGGAGATTGCCATGGGATTACCCCCAATCCCTATGGATTGCCCCCAATCCCTCCCCATACCTTGCTCATTTTGGATGTACTTAAGGAGCTCAAGCTCATTACTAATGCATCGATTCTAAGCTCAAAATCTGACAGAAGTTGCAGAGGCAGAAGCGCAGGCAGCAGGTACTCACGCAGAGGATGTGACACCGCTGTCGGGCTTCCCCCAGCCGCTGGACCAGCCAGAGCAGTCGGTGCGATTGTTGAACCACATCAGCTTGCACACCTGCCGCTCTCCCGCCGCCCCGTCCGGCACATCCCACAGGATTTTGATTGACCCCACGGCCCCTGCGAGAAATGTGGGGATGTTGACGCAGCCGTCAGCCCCCGAGGACCCCGGCACGGCTGCTCGGAGCACGATGGGCGCGAGGGAGACGGGTGAGTTGGTGAAGTTGGGCGCGTTGTAGAGCACGAGGCTCGTTGCCACTGTGGAGGGGGTCGCTGTGGGGGGGAGGAGAGAAAGAGGGGGAGGGAGAAAGAGAGGGATGGAGGGGGTTGTGGGGGCAAGAGTTTGTGGAAGGTAAGTGCAGCAAAGAGAAGGGCTTCGTGGGAGGAGGTCAGCAGGGCTTACAGTGCTTGATAGCAGTGATTGGGACAGTGCGTGTGCTGATGGTAAGAAGCTATAGTGGATGTGCTTGAAACGAGTACCTTGAGTGCAGATGTTGTTGACAAGGGAGGATGAAGCAGGGCAGGCACAGAAGGGGATGCCGTCGCTGGTGGCTCTGCAGCGAGACGTGGAGGGGCACTGCACCCCCACACATATCGGCACTGCAGAGGGGGAGAAGGGTTGTGGAGGGGTACAATGGAGTGTGGACAGGTGAGGATGGCTGACAAGGGTTGATAATGAGTGAGGATGGATGAATGAGGGGGACGCACAAAGAAGCAGCAGCAGCAGCAGAGTGTGGGGGAGACAGCACACTCACCCAGGCACGTGTTGGGGGCACCGAGCAGCATCCCCTTGGGGCACGCGCACTGCGCCTTGCCCGTGCTGGCGTCACACACCAAGTCGCCTGCTGGGCAGGTCACTCCCACGCACGGGTCTGGGAGAGGGCGGGCGTCAAGGGAGTGCGGCAGAGGCGGAAAGGAGGAGAGCGACAAGATGTGAGGGTGGTGAGGGTGCATAGGGAGGGTGTGAGGGAGCGATGGCAGGATGGATGGGAGATGGAGAAACATAGGGGATGGGAGAATGAGATGGAGGCATGCGATGGAGGCATGCGATGGGGGCATGTGATGGAGGCATGCGATGGGGGCATGTGAAGGGAGGTGCATGAGAGCAGGTAGAAGGGGTGTTTGCGCACCTGGTAGGCACTTGGAGTTATTGACGAGCGCCTCCCCGGCGCCACACACGCAGAGGGGCTTCTTGTCCACCACGGTGCACGTGGCCGTGGACGGACACTGCACTCTGAAGCACGGGTCTTGCACTGCCGGGGGCGAAGACGAGGGGGGGATGGGGGATGTGGATGTGGTGCGCTAAGAGAGATGCGGGTTGGAAGGGCGAGGGCATGGAGTACAGCCCATCGGCCACAAGCACCGCACTGTACCACACAGCACAGCATAGCACAGCACAGCTGAGGGACTCGGTTCTCGGTTGGGAAAACGGACGGTTGAAGCTCACACTTGCTCATGCCTGCAGCCCAGCACCCCGGCACAGCCACCGGCGCACCCACCATAGAGAGGCAAGGGGTGTGTAAGTGAGCATGAATAGAGAGTTGATGCGCTTGCGGAACCGGGTGCTCACCGTAAGGCAGATTGCCGAACCCGTTGCCGGGCGGGTAGTAATGGCATGCCCACACGTCCGCAGTCGTGCCTCCCCCCCACACGGCTGCACTGGCCGCACACGATGCCTTGGCGCACCCCACCTTGCGCGTGTCGTTCCACACCAGCTGCGTGTAATGCCCACACTTTTCCCACCCGCCCTGACAGCCGTTGGGAAAGACATCCACGGAGTACCACTGCCCCTCGTCCACCCAGAAGCGCACTCCCCTTGCATTCGATGCCCACCCCGTGGGGGCCGTGACCACAAGGTTCTGCCCCTCGTTGTCATGCCCTCCGTGCGTTAGGTAGCAGTTGTTGGAGGAGTTGGTCAGCGCTGTCGCCCACGCCTGCGCGTGCACCGCCACTGGGAGCACAGGACGAGGAGGGAAGGGAAGGAGAGGCGAGACATGACATGTCATGTGCATGGCATGTGCATAGACATGACTCACATGCGTCGTCCCACATTCACATGCGTCGTCCCACACTCACATGTGCCGTCCCACACTCACATGCGTCGTCCCACACTCAAATGCGTCGTCCCACACTCACATGTGTCGTCCCACACTCACATGCGTCGTCCACACTCACATGCGTCGTCCCACACTCACATGCGTCGTCCCACACTCACATGCGTCGTCCCACACTCACATGTGTCGTCCCACACTCACATGCGTCGTCCCACACTCACATGTGTCGTCCCACACGAGCGGCACGGCTCCCACGGCAGCGCGGGCGTGGTTGTGCATATCGAGGTAGTCGGAGTGGTCAAGATCGGCCGAGGAGCACACGTTGTCAATGAGGCGTGTGAATGGTGCGGGGCACTGGCACACCGCTGTACCGAACTGCACCACACACGTGGACACGTCCGGACACTTGACACCGTAGCATGCGTCTGAAAAGGGAGGGGGGTGTGGGGGAGGGATGTGGGGGAAGGGGCGTGAAAGGGCACTTGAGCAGGAAGGGGTGTCAACATCTAGATCGAGATCACCTGGGCAGGAGCACTCGGAACTGATGCAATTACCTGAGCAGGAGCATGAGCAACGAGCGAACCGAACACGTTTGTCTCGAACAGCTTGCGAACATTTGGTCAATTCGAACCGAACCGAACACGTTTGACTCGAACAGTTTGCCTTGGGGGGTTCTTTCAGTATAGTCACATTCAGGCAGGGCGAGTGTACTAGAAGCAATATCACGTTCCCTATAGCCCTACAAGAGATATAGTTAGGCTTGGCGCAGATCTGGTGGATATCCAATTTCGCCTTGCTAAACTCCAACCTAAACCGAAATGCCCTTAGTTCCTTTATTTAGCCGTCTCCTACCCTAATCCAACATTATACCTAACGTTTCCAGCCACAATGTGGAATTTTAACCGTGAAAATGTGGTAGTTTAAGTGGATAGGGGCCGGAATGCCATCCTTAGGCTATATCGACGATTGAGCTCATTCTTGAGCTCAATCGTCGCCCTCCCCTTCTAGATCCAACCAGCGCGTCAAACTTTGACGCACTGAATTTTCCCTCGAACACCTAGGTGTTCATGCATTTTTCTGCACACGAACACTCGAACAGTCGAACGTGTTCGTGACGAACACCAAGGTGTTCGTCACGAACAATTTTGGGCAAAAAAAACAGTCGAACACTTTCGAGTCGAACCGAACAGGGGTTCGAATTTTTGCTCATGGCACTGATGCAATCACCTGAGCAGGAGCCCTTGGCACTGATGCAATCACCTGAGCAGGAGCCCTTGGCACTGATGCAATCACCTGGGCAGGAGCGGACGACGATGTTACAACTACCTGAGCAGGAACACTCGGCTCTGAGCAGGAGAACTGGCACTGTATGGATCACCTGAGCAGGAACATTCGGCTCTGTTGCAATCACCTGAGCAGGAACACTTGGCAATGCCAGCGGAAGAGGAGCAGTTGCAGTTGGTGGGGCAGGTGACAATCTTACACATGTCCGCCACTGGTGAGGGGAATGAATGGGCAAAGGGGGGTGGGGAAACGGGTGGCGGGAGAGGGAGTGGAAGGAGCATGAAGGCACAGGTGAAAAAGAGACGAGCAACGGGGAGAATGAGAACAAGAGAAGGACCTGTGAAAGAGCAGGGGCAGGGGTGTGAGGAGAAGGGGTGTGAAAGAGCACTTGGCACTGTTGCTTCTGCCTGAGCAGGAGAACAGGCACTGTAGCAATCACCTGAGCAGGAGCGCATAGCGATGTTGCAACTACCTGAGCAGGAACACTCGGCTCTGTTGCAATCACCTGGGCAGGAGCACTTGGGAACGCCGGTGGAAGAGGAGCAGTTGCATTTGGCGGGGCAGGTGACATTTAAACAGACGTCTCTCGCTGGTGGGGGAAGTGATGGGGAATGGGGGTGGGGAAACGGATGTCGGGGGAAGAAACGAGACGGGCAAAGGGGCGAATGAGAACAAATGAAGGACCCGTGCTGCTCACCCTATGTAGCGAATTTTTCGAGGAGGGTACGTGCAAAATCGAGTCGCCCCGATTATCCCACGTACATCAACATTGCCCAATCACCCCCGACCAAGCCGCGTCCAACCACAACACGTCCCATTCCCCACAACCAATACCTGGTAAGTATAACTTCAACCCACCTCATCACATTGCTCATCCAGTTCTTTCCTCCCGCTACTGATATTGTAGTTCTCTGTTTCCACAGCACTCTAGTGATGGCTACCCCAGTCCCATCTCCCGATAGTGACCCTACTGGTCCTTCTGCTTGGACCTCGGAGGCGCAGTGGCAGGAGGAGGATAGTACGCATATGGTGTTTAAGCACTTATGAGGTTCCGATCCGCCCCGACAACGTCGGCGTCGTCCGTGTTTGCAAGTATTGCGCCATCGAGTTCAAGGGTGGTGCGTTTCGATGCGCGCAGCATCTCGCGAAGAGGAAAGGACAGAAGTCGCGCGACGTTCGGCTGTGTACGAAAGTTCCGTTCGACGTGCGGCGGTGCGCGCGCATTACGAGAGGAATGCTAACGGTTGCGACAAGAAGAGGAGGGCCGAAGAGGCTTCGCTCGAAGCCGTCGCTGGAGGTTCGAAGAAAGGGCGCATCACCGACTTCCTTGGCTGCGAGGCGACATGTGCGAAGGCCGACGCCGACAACTCCATCTGCTTGTTCTTTGCCGGCTGCCGTCTTCCCGAGCACCACGCCGACCACCCGTTGTGGCGCAACATGGTCAGGGCAATTGCAAAGCTATGTTGCAAAAGACGCGTCCTGCGTCTTAGACCTGGCGTCCAGACGCAGCGTCCTAGACGCAGGACGCTTCATGGGGGCCTGTGAGACGCTGAAAAAGACGCATGCCCGGGCAGGGCAAAAAAAAACCCCAGGCAGCCAAAAAAACAGGATATAGGGCATGGGAAGGGGGGGGGGGGGGCGACGTTGCACACGTTCGAGTCAAAATTTTCGCCTTCAAAAATTTTTCCCCACATAATCAAGATCATGGTAAGTCACAAATGTCACAAGGTCTAGTCAACTACACACTTAATCAAGTCACTCAGCAGTAGCAACAAGCATACTACTACTGCAGCAATGCAATCAATCACTCATCCTCCTCCTCTTCGCTTCTTTTCTCCTCCTCCTCCTCCTCGTCCTCCTGGTGCTCGTACTCGTCCACGACATCATCATCCCTAGAAGCGGCGGAAGATGATGGAGTAGAAGCCATAACGATGGTGCGCTAAGTAGCTAAACCCACTAGGGTTTACTAAGAAGAATTGTCTTGGTAAAGTGAGGGAGCACAAATGAGGAGTTTGCAACCCTAAATGGGTTTGGTGGTGAGCCACATTGATTTTGTGTTGTAGATGTAGAGGGGTTGTGAAGGTTGGGCTTTCAAATTTGGTAAGGGGGGGTTACAAATGTGGTGCGGGGGCTGGTTTTCATGGTCGAATTGGGTTAGGGGGGGTCGACATGACGCGAAATTGACAGTCGCGTCGAAATCGCGAATGTCAATTTTGCGCTGGGGCAAATTTTTTTTCGGTCAGCCCGAAAAAAAATACCACAAGCGTCCTGCGTCTTGGCCAGCGTCCAGCGTCTTTTGCAACATAGTTGCCAAGGCAGGCCCTGGTTACATCCCGCCGAGGCATCGCTACGTGGGAGGGGCTAGGCTTAAGCTGTGCTGCACGGGCATCAAGAAGGGTCTTCTTCCAATCACCGCGAGCTGGAAGCAGGATGGGGTGACCGTCTCCTCGGACATGATGACCGATCGAAACGGGAGGCCGCAAGCAAACGTGTTGCTGATCAACGACTCGGGAGCGGTGTTTGCCAAGGCGATCGACTGCAAGCTGGAGTAAAAAACTGGGGGTTACGTCGCGTCCCTCCTCCGCCCCATCATAGAAAAGGTGGGGCCGGAGAATGTTGTCGCCCTTTGCATGGACGGGGGCTCCAACTACTGGACCGCCTGCAAGGAGCTCATGGCGGAGTGGTTGCACATTGAGCACGTGCCGTGCATCACGCACGTGCTCGACCTCCTTATGGAGGACGTGGGTCGGATGCCGTGGGCCTGGGAGATTGTGGAGCGGGCGGGAGATATGATCAGCTTCGTCCGCAACCACCATCTCACCGCGGCTACCTGAGGAGTGGGGCGGTGCAGGGCGGAAAGGGGAAGCAGGTGGTGAAGCCTGCTGGGACCAGGTTCGGTACGAACTTCATAGCCATCTCACGGCTGTGCGAGGTGAGGTCCTCGTTGGCTCAGATGGTGCTGAGCGAGGAGTACGGCAATTGGGCGAAGGGGGCACGGAAGCAGACGGAAGAAACCTTCCGCGACCACGTCATGGACGACGAATTGTGGAAGAAGGTGACTTACCTGGTGGAGTTTTTGGAGCTTCCATACGCGGTGATGCGGGCCACGGACAGCACGGCGAAAGGCATGATGGGCAACATCTACGATCTTATGCTCCAGCTGACGGAGGATATGAACGCCAAGCTAGAGGAGGGGGAGGGGACTCTGTTGCGTGAGGATGCGGTAGAGATCGGGAGGATTGTGAGGCGCTGTTGGGACGAGAGCCTCGCTTGCGCTCTGCATGTCGTTGGCCGGATCCTGAACTCGGCAAATCAGGAGGAGGGTAGGTATCTTCCACACAGATGTGGAATGTACCCGCATCTTCAAGGCGTTCATCAACCGTCACTACGACGGCAAAACCATCACCCGCAAGGACGGGGAGGAGAAGCGAGCATCACTTGTTTTGCAGGAGGGGCTCACAACCTTCCTCACCCTGCAAGGCTCCTTTGGCCTCCCTGAGGCCATTGCCGACAAGGAGGCCGTGAAGGAGGGGAAGCACTCGATGGTGCAGTGGTGGGGATGGCACGGGACTGACCACCCCGAGCTGGCAGGCCTTGCGTGCCGTGTTCTGACATAGCCAGTGTCAGCCTCGCCGTGTGAGCGCGGGTGGGCAGTGTGGGAGTCAGTTCACACTGCCCGTCGCAACAAGCTAGGCTCGGAGAAACTCCGGGACCTAGTGTATGTGGCTCACAGCTAGCGTGTGGTCCACAACTATCACAAGAAGGATGAGGCACTGGCGGTGCTTCCGGGGAACATCCCTGAACCCCCTCTGCCGGAAGGATACAAGGAGGAGGAAGGGGAGGAGGAGTGGGAGGGGGAGGAGTGGGAGGGGGAGGAGGAGTGGGAGGGGGAGGAGGGGGGATTGCCGTGCTGGTCGATGAGTATGTGGAGTAGCAGAGCGTCAGGTGGAGCAAGAAAGGCAACAGCAGGGTAAGTGGAGAGGTAGGGGAGTTGGGGAGCAAGGGGAAGTAGCAGACTTTGTAGTTGCTTCTATGTGTACTTGCATGATTGTAATGGAAAAAAAAATCATGTGAGAACCACAAAACCGAAATGGGAAAGTCACACTGAACATAAGCACCATGACTCACCCCCTGATATTTTTTTCCTCTGCCCGGAACTTTTTTCCCCTGCCCGGGACACCGTATTTTGAGCGTATCGAGGGGGCGGAAATCCACCGAACCACGTACGTACGTTGGCGTATAGTACGAACGCGACTGGTACGCCAGTCGCGTATATTCCAACATAACACAGTACCTGTGCTGCCCGTGCTACCACAGTACCTTTGGGGGCGATTGCGGTGAGGCACGACATGGACTGTGCTTTCGCCACCACACCCGCTGCCACCCTGGTGGACGGGGCACGGTGGACAAAAGGGCGAGCGGAGGAGAGAAGGAGGAGGGCAGGGTACAGCAATGGCATGGAGGGCAACAGAAGAGGCTGGCTGCACAAAAGCTGAATGCTGCACACTCACCTTAAGTTGACCTTTGTCGCTTTTCAGACCTATATGAAAATAAAAAAGTGCTGAACACTAGAAATTGCTGGAAGGTGTTGGGAGGTGTTGGGAGGGATAGCCAAGTGGAATCCCAGGCTGAAACGTCAACGCAATAGTTGGTCACCCGAGTGCTGCTGCACGCTTACTCACTTGCTGGTGGCGGCGTAGGTGGTCTTGGCCGCGTCAGCCTTCTTCCACCCGCCCGGCACCTCAAAGGCCGACGACAACCCGCTGCAGTCGCTCTGGTTCCAGAACAGCACCTTCCCGCACATCACGCGGCTAAAGCCGCTGCTGCCGTCCTTCACGCTCCACAGGATGCGCAGCGACCCCACGGCACCCGCGCGCGGCGCGGGCAGGTTCACGCATGTGCGGTTCGGGATGGCGCCGCGCAGCACGACGGGCGGCGCGGGGGCGTACTTGGCGGTAGCGAATAGCAGCACGCTCGTCACCACCACCTGCCCGTCCACGGCTGCCCGGGGGGGAGGGGGGTGGGGGTGAGAGGAAGGAACGGGAGGAGAAAGAGGGAGCAGAGGGCGGAGGGGGGAGTGGAAGGGAGAGGAGGGGGTGAAGGGGAAGGGGAAGGGGAGGGAGCGGAATGCAAGAGACGAGGAGGAATGGGGCAGGGTCAGGGTGAGAGCGAGAGAGTGCCGGAGCGGGAGGTGGGTGGTGAGAGGAAAGGATGGGGGGGTGGAGCCAGCATGGGGAGCCTGAGCCATTGATCCCAGCTGGCACAGCACGAGCCATTGATCTCAACTGGAACAGCACGAGCCATTGATCTCAACTGGAACAGCACGAGCCATTGATCTCAACTGGCACAGCACGAGCCATTGATCTCAACTGGCACAGCACGAGCCATTGATCTCAACTGGAACAGCACGAGCAATTGATCTCACCCAGCACACACGAGCCGTCACGGTGAGATCAACGGTTGATCTCACCTGGGCACACACGAGCCGTTGACCTCACCTGGCACACACGAGCCGTTGACCTCACCTGGCACACACGAGCCGTTGACCTCACCTGGCACACACGAGCCGTTGACCTCACCTGGCACACACGAGCCGTTGACCTCACCTGGCACACACGAGCCGTTGACCTCACCTGGCACACACGAGCCGTTGACCTCACCTGGCACACACGAGCCGTTGACCTCACCTGGCACACACGAGCCGTTGATCTCACCTGGCACACACGCGCCGTTGATCAGCGCGAGGGTCCCGTTGCACTTGCAGAAGGGGAAGTTGCTGCTGTCCACGGCGCACGCCGCGTCCTGCGGGCACGTCACGTTCATGCACGCCACGACGGCTGTGGCGGCCCGGGCGGGCGCGGACAGGCGGACGGAAGGGCGGAGCGGGGAGAGGAGGGGGATGAGCGAGGGGAAAAGAGCGGAACCGAGGGGGATGAGAGCGGATGGGGATGAGCGCGGATGGGGATGAGAACGGATGGGGATGAGAGCAGAATGACTCATTGGGAGCTCGGAGGGGGGAAATTTGCACCCTTTCGGACTCTTTATTTTTTGGGGGGGGGGGGGGGGGGGGGGGGGGGGGGAGGAGGATGGCAGCATGCGAGTCCTAGTGCAGCACACATTTGCCGGAATGGCGGCAAAAAAAAATCATCCTTTGAATGGCGTGACGGGGGGAGGGGCGGGGAACACACGGATCGAACGCGGCGCACGTGCCGTTATCGACGGTGGCTCACCAGGCGGAAGCTTGGGCGGCGCCGGGGGCTTCTTCGCGAGCAGCTTTATAAGCCGCCGATGGAACGGACCGTGCGACACCGTCGCAGGACCCTCTAGTAACCATCGCATGTGCGACCTAATTGCGACAATCGCGTCGCCGAATGTTGAGCGACGGCCGATGGCGAGAGTGGCCGACGCGCGGTGTTGGGAGAGGAGGGCGGAATGGAGCAGGAGGGCGAGGAGAAGGGGGAGGAGGAAGGGGAGGCGGGAGGATGCGAATGGAGTCGTCATGCGCGCGCGCCGGCGGAGTGATGGGCGAAGCGCAATTTGCGGGGAGCCGACGTCTGAGGGAAAGCGCAGGAGACTCCGGAATGGAGGAGAAGGGCAAAAGGTTTTTGAATTGGTGAGACCAGACCAGAAGGACAAAGTTTGCCATGGCTGGATTTTTACTTCCGCGAGAGAACTATGGTACAATTCAGAGGCACGACTGACCTGATGTGGTGTGTGCGGTAGAGTGCACGGTAGGCAGCAGAAGGGGATTTGGATTTAGAGTTATGTATGAGTTTTGAGGAACCCTGCCAGATCCGAGCTGCAACCCAGGTTTCTTCTGTCACAGCAAGGTCTCCGGAGAGGAGTAGTCAGGAAATTGCATTTTGTTTTCTTCTCGTAGTCTGAACTGGCAGGGTATTCGCGGACACTGTGAGCGAGCAATGTGTGAGGCTTTGTGTGTTTCGTTATTTCGTCGGTGTTGCCAGTGGAGAAATCTGTGGGAGAAAAACAAAGTAAGGCTGAAGGGGAGAAGGGAGAAATACCTGCCATATTGAAGGGGCAACTGGGAACCGACACCAGGCATTAGCATTTGATATCTGTTAGCTCCACTACTGTCACCTCGTGAGCTGAGCGAATTTGACGTTCCTGACTAAATTAATCCAACTGGGTACTTACCGTGGCGAGCTCGAACCCAGAAGGGATCCATGTCTGCAATTGCAGGGAGAATCCAAACTTATGCCAAATTGCCAAGGAGGTGCAATCGCTAGCGTCTGTTTTAGCAGGGGAATGAAAATCAGTTACTGTACTCTGGAAAACCATGAAACAAATATAAACAGCCATGGCTTCCCTCAGTTGGGATGGATGGATGAATGGAAAGGATGGAACACGACACATATGGGTGGCCCGAGCCGCGAGCTCTGAACCTCACTAGAGACAACCTGGAAAAGGGGCACCCTGCACAGTGCTGTAATAACAGCTGTGGAGAAAATGTCGAAATGTTGTTCGTCCGATTACTTACGGAAAGAACATCGACGAACAAGACTCGACACTCAAACAAGGTACAGCAGAAGCTTTACAAAAACTTTACAACCACAGTATACCGCACATGCTTTGAGACAGATGTTGGGGCCAATATCAGCGCATTTAAAGCGACGGGCAACTTTTGGCAGTGTTGGGTTCAGAAGTTTTTTTTTTGAACCAGGCTTGCCAGCGCGAAAGTGCTGGCTGGCGAAAACCAGGATTTCGTGCGGACACTTTCCATCCGCAGTAACAGTTCGCCAGGGTTTTGGGTTTTGCGATTGCATTCATTTGCCAGTCTGTGCTGGAAAGAAGCTGACGGACCGTCGGGTTAGATACCGGTCTGACAGTTTTCGAGGCCATAAAAAAACGGTCGGTTGTCAACACGCGGTCAGAGTTAATTATACCCCGTCGGAAAAAAACTAGATTTGGGAAGAATCAACCCTAGACAGTGGAAGATTCAACCCTAAACACGGGTCCGGCATGGTGTTTAGGGCTGACCCCATCCCGATGGGGTTTTGTTTGACGACGGTCACTTTACGGCCGGTCGTCTATAAACATTGGCCGACGGGCCGACATCTTTGCTCCAATCCGAGCAATGGAAGGCATCTGCAAAATCGCACTGGAAAAATGTGAATGCAGTTCGATTTTACCGCAAATGTTGAATGGAAATCAGTCCGCTGACGTCACAAGAATCTGACGATAATCTCACCGTTTCTGACACCCCCTGCACACTGTGCAGATTGTCTACAGCTCACCCTTTCGCACAAGCTTTCAGGCTTCGCGGTTGACCGGAATTGTTACACATGATGCCCAACCCCTGCACGCCACTTTTCCCTGCACCGGATGAGAACCTTGCACCCGAGGTTTTTTTCCCCAGCCAGTTGCACGCACGTTACAAGCACGTCGCGCAAGTTGCAGTGGTTCTGAACCAATAATAACGAACAGACCGAAGTCAAACTGAAGAGACTGAAGTCAAAATGTCAACGGATAAGTTACAAATATTTTATATGCACCTGACGAATTCTTTTTTGCTAGTTGCGAATTGACGAAACTTGTGCGAAATGCACGTGACAGCTTATGCGCCCCCTTCACAAGGCAACCGGGAGTGGCTCAAACGGGCATCATGTGTACACAGAGTGCGATATATTCTGCTTCAGCTGAAGAGAGGGCGATTAATTCTTGTTTGCTCGACTGCCAGGAGATAGGCCCGATAGGCTCGAAGCGATAGATGTAGCCGGTGCGCGAGCGTCTGTTCTCGGAGTCGCCGGCGTGATCTGCGTCGACGTAGCCGATTAGTTTAGGTGTTGTAGTCCCGTTCTTGTGATAAGTCAGGCCGATCGTCGGAGTGCTGACGAGGTAGTGAAGAGCGCGGTCGAGCTCCGCCATGTGATCCGTTTCAGGTTTCTTGAGGTAAGTAGCGAGCTGACTTGCAGAGTACGACAGATCCGGACGGCAGGTGACGGCTGCGAAGAGAAGGCAGCCCAGCTTTCTCTGGTAGTCGCGTATGCCGGCGGGCTTGAGCAGAGCGGAGCCTTCTGTCAAACATTATATGTTTAAATTGTGTAGGCTATAGTGGGTTTAGCCTTAGGGGGTACAACTTTGTTAGGGTTTCCTACTTGTATCCCCCTCCTACCTAGTTTCATCCATTCTCGTTCACCTCTACTTTACAACATGGTATCCGACGCCTAGGTCAGGACCTAGGACCGAAGTTGGTTTGGGCCCACCGTTCCACCGCGCCGTCGAGCGCCCCTTCTCGCGCCGTCGAGCGCCCCTTCTAGCGCCGTCGAGCGCCCCTACTAGCGCCGTCGTGCGCCCTAGTGGCCGCCGCCCGTAGGCTGCCCATCGCCCGTAGGCTGCCCGTCGCCTGCCGTCGCCCGTAGGCCGCCCTTACGCTGCCCGTACGCAGCCCGTAGGCCGCGGCCGCCCGTAGGCCGCCAGTACGCCGCCCGTAGGCCGCTGCCGCCCGTAGGCAGCCTGTACGCCGCCCGTAGGCCGCTGCCATCCGTAGGCAGCCCGTAGGCAGCCCAGTGGCGGCCCGTACGCCGCCCGTAGGCCGCTCACGCGCAGGCCGTGACCCGCGCGCCGCGGCTACTTCACGCCGACGCCTGCAGCCCGCCGGAACCCGTGCGCGTCGCCCCCCTGCCCCTTCGCGACGCCCTTACGGGACCCGCGCGTCGCCCCCGCCTCGTCGCGACGCAGCTGCGGGACCCGCGCGTCGCCCCCGCCTCGTCGCGACGCAGCTGCGGGACCCCGCGCGTCGCCCCCCGCCTCGTCGCGACGCAGCTGCGGGACCCGCGCGTCGCCCCCGCCTCGTCGCGACGCAGCTGCGGGACCCGCGCGTCGCCCCCGCCTCGTCGCGACGCAGCTGCGGGACCCGCACGCGTCGCCCCTGCCTCGTCGCGTCGCCCCCCGCGCGCGACCCGCGCGTCGCCCCTGCTCACCGTGGCGCCCTGCCCTACCCCGCGCCCGCCCTTGGGACGGCCGCCCTGGCCCCTAGAGCA